CCGCGAAGGTGACTGTTTGGACCAGAGGTCTTTGCAGATGTACTCAGGAAGGATGGGGCCATGCAGTTGGGTCTCCAGGCAGGGACACTGGAGTCTTTATAAGAGGAAGGAAATTTAAGACACATGCACAGAGCATGCCTGCGTGCACGTCCTGTGGGGACTCAGCACACAGAGGAGGTGGTGTGATCACAAGGCAGATGTTAGAGTGGTTGAGCCTCAAGCCAAGGGTTGTCAAAGCCATGGGAAGCAGGAAGGAGTCTCCCCTCCAGGCTTGAGGTGGAGTGAGGCCCAGCTGACACCTCGATTTCAGACTTTGAGCCTCCAGAACTGTGAGGATTGCATTGTGATGATTGTTCCCAGTGTCTGGGGCTCTTTGTTACACAGCTCTAGGAAGCTAAGGTAACATTCAGTGGGCACCTGGGGGACTTGTAAGAATCTTTCGTGTGCATGGTGCATGGGGTTGGGCCTCAGCATTCATACTTCCATAGACCTGGCCTAGGACATTTTTACTTTCTGATTTCTACCAATCTACCAATCTTCCCATTTAGATCATTGTCTGGTTTTATGCTACTTCATTACAAAAGACTTTGTTCATTATGGAAGAAAGTTCCGACAGGTACCACATTAAAAAAATATTCAGGTGTTGTCCGTAACGTATGCTGCGTCCCTAAGCAGCTGCATCGGATGGCTGATGGGCACTTCTTTAGCAACAGATGTTTGTTTCAGGGAGGAAGCAGGAAGGATGTTGCTCCCTCCCCTCCTCTCCTTTCTGCTGACAAGAAACAGAACCAAATCAAAATGACCTTAAAAATAAGGAAATGTTGTTCTTGCAAAATAGGGTGCCCAGGCTCAGAGGGAAGGCAGGATCCGCACGGCCCCTAGGAGAGCTTTCGCGGGACGTGGGTGCTCTCTGTCCAGCCTCATGCTAAGGTCGTAAAGCTGGTGTGCTGCAGGGACAAGCAGCCTGCTTCCTGGCTCACATCCTGTGGGTCTCTTTGATGTGTTTCTCACCAGATCTGGGGACTTTCCCCAGCAGCCCCTCCAGCTGCCCTCGCTCCCAACAGGCTGGAATTGGCATCCTCTGGATGGACGGCTGCTGGAGACCCAGGCCTCCCCACAGGCTCCAGATTCACAGCTCTTATTCCTGCTGAGCAGGCAGAACCGTGCACCCCAACAACACTCGGGTCCTAGTCCCCAGGACCTGGGAACACACTCTCTTATAAGTCGCATCTGCAAAGGGACTCTGCAGAGGTGATTCAGCTGAGGACGTTGAGACAGGGAGATGATCCCGTATCATCCCGGTGGGTTCAGTATAATGACAAGACTTCTCATGCGGAGGTGGCCCAGGAATAAGTTAGAGGACAGGTAAGGACCAAAGGAGGGTCAGAGAAGAGGTAGAAAAGAGAGAAGATACCACACCTGTGGACTGAAGATGGAGGAAGGGGCCGTGAGCCAAGGAATGGAGGAAGCCTCTGGAAGCTCATAAGGGCAAGGATCTCCCTGCAGACCCAGAAGGAATACAGTTCTGTCCGTTCCTTGATCTAAGTCGGTTAAGACCCGTCTTGGACTTTTCTGACTTTTAGAACTGTAGGATAATAAATCTGTGTTGCTTTCAGCCACTAAGTTTGTGCTACTTTATTGCACCAACTAAAATACCATCTTTTCTGGAGTTTGACCTTGAATCTATATAGACCATTTCTAAGAATTAAGCATTTTCTATTTATTTAGAACCTTTTATGGTGTATATAGTGTAGAAGGTAGACACATATGTAGGGAATAAATAAAAGACAAACCAGTCTCTGGTCCGGCCTCCAGTTAGGCCCAGCCTGGTGATTTGCTCTAAAATGGCGAATATCAGTTCATTCATATCCCAGCGCTGGGTACTGGGAATTCAGAACCATGAAGATCTTGTCCTCCCTCACAAGTGGCTGAGCGCTCTCAGCCAGTGATCTGGTTCCATAAATATTCTCAGGATCCAGTGGAGCCTCTTCCAGATGCTTTCCCTGTCTTTGTAGCTGTAGCTGGTTTCCTCCCATTCAAACCTGCTGATTGGTGTTTTTTAAGTTCTAGGGAGGGCCGGGAGAGCAGGGCTATTGTTAAGCACTGCACACTGAGACCTATTTTTAGAGTATCCTGTGTTGCTGAGATCAGCAGAGTCCAGCTCTGGTCCTGGGTGCACAGGGGTCGTCCTCTGCCCCAGCCCTCATGCCAGTTGGACGGAGACACTGCTGTTGGGATGTTTTCCCTGCGGTTCTTCATTTCCTGTCCTTTGTAGGGTTTCCTGTTCTGCAGAGGCCCAGGGGCAGGGCACATGCACATTGTGTTCAGAATCCACTTGTTTCACCCCGCAGCCCAGTTGCTTCTGGGAAGATGTGGGCTGTCTGAGGGTGAAATAAATCTATGAAAATATCTGGGAAGGTAACTGAAATAATGGGGCAGAGAAATGGGGTGGGGGACCTGGGCTTTGAGGTGATCTTTTCCAACCTTCTAATTTTCTCTTGAGGGTAAAAAAGGGCATAGATTATTAACTTCCAGCATTCTCCAAAGCAGCTTAACCAAGATGGAGCTCAGTCCTTGGGGTCCCACAAGATAGTTCTGGGTTCAAGAACTGAAGGACTGGCTGAGAGCTGGATATAGCAAGCCCTAATGTCCACAATAGTGTGTAGAGGGGTAGGTTTGGTGTGGTGTTTGTTCTCCACACTGTGCCTTTCCTGTCTTCTTTGTCTGTATTAAGCTGAATGGATAAATGCACCAGTTATGGAGATTCAGTCTGGTGGAATCTCATTTACTGCCATATGACCTAGGACAAGCTGTTTGAAGCGCGTTTCCTGTCTGTAAAATGGGTATAACAACAATACCAGCACAACTAGGCATATAGCAAGGATTAAATGAGTTTCCAGGTTCTAAGATCAGTTGCCAGGAAGTCCTAAATACTGACATACCTTTTTATACCTAACATTTTAAGTGATTATTCTCTAACATTTTAAGTGATTGCGTGCTATTCCATTGTGTGCCTCTGTTCTGCAGTTTATTTAACCAGATCCCTATAATGGGATTGGGTTTCTAGTCTTTTGATGTTGTAAACAACGTTTCGATGACTACTTTCATAGGTAAAGATTTTCTCTCACCCTTAATTATTTCCTCAGGTTAAATTCTACGATTAGAATTGCTGGGTCAAAGAGGGTACATATTTTTTAAGGCATTTTCTTGATAGATGCTACCAAATTTTCCTCCAGGATAGTATTAGTCTACACTCTCACCAGCAATGAATGAGTGTGCCAATTTCCTTCTGTGGCCAGGTTATTAACTTTTAATCAAATGAAGGCCTTGGGAAAAAAAGGAGCTATTTCCTTGGGGATAAAGCAATCCTTATTCTTACTTATAAACGAGCAATAAAAGCTCTCGAGATCCTGAAGCTCACCCAGAAGGTGGGTAGAGCATGTGAGAACAGCGCCCTCTACTGGCTCTCTCTGGTGGAGCGGTGTGAACCGTGGTTGATGGTGATACAGAGATGATCATGGTCTCCCCAGCCCATTGGTTGGCGATGCCAGAAAGTGAAGGGCAACATTTAAAAGACTTCTAGACACTTAAAAAGTCAGCCTCGAGTGACATTTACTTCTTGCTTAGCTTCTTTTATAGCAATGATTCTCATCAAGGGATGATTTCCCCCCCAGGAACACTTGGCACTATCTAGGGACATTTCTAAGAGCCACTGATCTGAGGGAGAACAGGATGGGAAGGCTGCTGCCATCTAACAGTGCCCAGGACAGCTCTGTGGGCAAATTCAGTAGTTGAGGTGTGGAGACCCTGTTGTAGAGGAGGGGAAGAATTGCCCTGGGAAAGCTTCTCTTCTCAGGCTAAAAGGAGATATGGAAATATTTGCATTTAATATGTGTCACTATTATTATTATTAGTAGTAGTATTTGATTGTAGAAACCTGTTAGTTTTCCAGAATAAAAGGGAAAGCAGGTGGGACTGAAGCATCAAGTTGCCATTTGTAGAAGACAGGGCAGAGCAAAATAGAACCCCTAACGTCACATGCACTTATAAGAGAGGGACTTTTTTCTATCGTCTCGACTTGGTAGAAACTGACTTAAATTTCTGTGGCTTTCCCTGGGAGGCCTTATCTTGAAAAGGGAGTGCTTTATTTGACTCTTTCCCCCAGTTTCACAAGCACCCGTGTTTTCCTGTCATTTATAATTGCTCCTTCCAGCGAGTGACTGCCATCTGAGATTACAGAGGCTCCCCCCATACCCCGGGAAGTGCTGATTTGAGCATTGTTCCTAAGAAGGGGAAAGGAAAGGAAGAACTTAAAAAATGTTCTTAGGGAAGGGTGTGCCCCAAGGGAAAGTAGGACAGGAGTTTTGGGAAAATCAAACTATGCTGCCCCTACCTTCCATATTTGGCTGGACTTGAAGACCTTTGTCACTGGAGTGGCCCAAAACACTCAAAAATGTTCTGTGGCTTCATTTTGTGTTCACTTGCTGTTTTCTGAATGGCTTGCATTTCCGAACATGTATCTTGAAATAATTAACTGGAGAGGCTCTTAACTGCTCTTAATAATGTTAAGAGGATCATTTGGCCAGAAATGGGGGCACAAAAATCGACTTTTAGCTTTCCCCTAAATGTCAGATGCTGTTTTGATCGTCTTATATGGGAAGTATTTGTTTCAACTACAGGTCCCATTCATGAATTGTAAAGTTGATTTCTGAAGCACAATCAGCTTTATAAAAATATATGTGCATCAGATAGAATAGGAAATACCAGAGTATCATACAGACTAACCACAGCCTTAGTTTGGCCTTACACAAGCATGTCACCATGCATACATATGTGTACATATTTGGTTTATATGCACAAACATATGTCTGTGATGAGACATTTGGGGGGCAGTGGCTTAGGTTTTATGATGTAAAATCTGGCTTTCTTAAAGTTCCTACAAAGATCTCAGGGATTCCTGCTTGTAAGCAGTCTCTCAGTTTTATCCGTTAATTTTTCAGGTGGTACCAGGGAGATCGGCTCAGCTCTCACCAGGATGTGCATGAGGCACAGAAGCATTGAAGCCAAGCTGAGGCAGTTTTCCAGGTGAGCAGCATGTTTTACTTCAATCCATAATGTCCTTGCTGATCTCAGGGGAAGGAGGCAGTGATGTGTACAGTATCACCCCTTTCGCAGCATGGTCTCCCTACAGCATTTAAGGCCCCACAACCTTGCCTTTCCCCAGTCCTGCTCATTCATTGAATAAGCATTGTTGGGTGCTGGTCTAGGTACTCCAGATGCAGCTGAGAGCCATGGGCCAGGTCCCTGCCCTAGGGACCTGCAGTTCCCTTCAGATCATCTCTGGACTCCTCTGTCAGTTGAGGAGCCAGAGGGTCCTAGAGAAATGGCAGGGGCTGGCACAGGGATCTGGAGTCACCAATATTCAAATGAAAATGGACATGATCCCCCAAGGAGATCAGCCAATTCAGCAGCGTCTCACAGGTCTCACAGTTCTGTTTGGGAGAATAAAAGGAGGACATCTGGAGATAGCTTCCCTTCTTGATGATCTAGAAGCCAGCAGTACAGACCTACAGTTTTCTGGGTCTCTTTCTGCAGGCTGTGCACAATTAGTGATTTATAATCCTAAATGCACATCAGAACCGTTAGGTCTTTTAAAACAAAGTAATGCTTGGTCCCCACCCTCAAGGTTTTTACAGAGGGCCACTGGAGACCCAGGTGTCTTTGCTTTTGGGTGGTTCTTGATGTGCAGTCAGAGGGGAGACGCCCGTGTTCTGCAACCTGGCTTGTTAACCTGATTGCTGGAACACAGCTGGGGAAGTGAGAAGAGGGGTCAGTCCAGCCACTGACGTGTATGTAGCCTCTCAATAGTCATTAGAAAGCAAGCATCCAGGCTGTTCCCAAGCTGTGGAGTTCTGAGTGAATGTCAGCTCGCTAGGCAGCCTTTGCTTGCTTCAAGGAATTGTGATTTAGATTTGTTTTGACAAACAAATGTAAGTCTTGACAACAGAATGTATCTATTTAATTTCTCCTTTTTTTCTCTCTGGATGAAAGTGCTTTAATTGATTGTCTGATAAACCCACTGCAAGAACAGATGGAAGAATGGAAGAAAGTGGCCAATCAGCTGGACAAAGACCATGCAAAAGGTACAGGGGGAGAGGCCTGACGCCTTGTAGCGCAGCGCGAAGAGCTGTGGATGTTGCCAGCAGCTGCCTGGTGACAGGGCTGGGCCCCTCTGTCCCTGCTTCTCCTGTGTCAGGAGACGAGCAGTCCAAAGTGATCCCATTGTGAGATATTTCCTGGCGTGCAGTATCACTCCACTGATAGCCTGAACTCTTGGTGGCAGTGCCATCCGCTGAATTAAAATGAGTTATAATGGCAGGCTTCAGCGCCAAACATTCATACTTAAGGCATTTCAGAACATTTTGAAAGCCAAGACTCCAATGATAAAAGCTTATCTTGGGTCACCTGCTCAGAGCTGGGCCTTCCCTGTACTGTCTTTGCTAACTGGTTTAGTTAATCACCTTGAAAGCAGGAGAAGGAGCAAGGTGTAATCTGCAGAGGAAGTAGCGCTGCTACTCTTCCAAGCGAGTGAGTGTTTTGTGTTCCTTTTGCACAAAAGACTGTTTGATAATAAGGCCTCATCCCGTGTTGGGGTCATTCTGAGTTCTGTGAGTGCTGAGTGTTGTGGGGTCTGCAGAAAGACGGGCATGGAATCTACTAGGACAGGAACAGATCAGCCCTGTACAAGGCAAAGTGGGCCCTAGTGAAGACCCAGCCAGTGCTTTGGGAACACGGATGGACCACTCTTGGTAGCTCTTTGCAGCCATGCGGATGGTTTATTTCACTTGTTTTGGGCTATGAAATGGACCTTCTTCCACATCCTCAGACTGTCAGTAACCACCAGGAAGTTGTACATTCACTCCAATCCATCAGTCACGCGCCTAGAGCTGCTGTGTCCATACCGTGTCCCATGTCTTTGCACTCGCTGGGACCACAAAAACAATAAATAGATCTGTCCTATAAAATATGTTAATCACAGCTGATGGGCTCTTGTGGTTCCTGTTTTCAATGTTATTTGAAACCAGTCTTTTAAAGAACTTTAGCCAATCATTTTGCTAAAAGAAGGAACTGGAGAAGGCTAGCCAGATATTTAACAATCATATAAAAAGTTAATATAAAATCCTTGACCCTTCCACCCCAACATTTTAAAAAGTTTTGATTCACCTTTAATAGAGAAAATAGCGTCTCATATTTCTCTTAAAAGTTATCATTAAAAAAAAAATTACTTCTCTAAGATCCACCCCCAGTGGCACTTCCCATCTGGGACTAGCTCTTGTGTTTGATACAATCACTTGAAGTTAGGGAGACCGACAACTTGGAAGGATTTACTGTCCTTCAAATACGTGTGTTAATTAGGGCATGGTCGCTTTCACTTAGGTTCCCTGGAAGTGTCTCTTTACCTCCATTAGGTTAAAAAAAGAAAAAGAAAGAAACCAAACATCGAAAAGTTTTTTGTTTTTTTTTTTTAAAGACAAGGAAAAAGTTGATGGTTTCCATTTGACCTTCCCACCTTTGTCCAGGCCTCCTCTTTATTCAGTGTGCACATTTGGTAGTCCTGCAAAGCTGATTTGATAGCAAAGACTTCAAAATTGGACGTGGAAAGCTTCTGTAAGGGCGGTTTTGCGGAGCCCGCGGGGAGAAGGCAGCGGGACTCATGGAGCGCTGCTCCATCTCTCATCCAGGACAACCAAGGTCCCTTGACTTTAACTGAATACTCCCCGCCCCCATCCCGGGGAGACACAGAGAAATGCTTCCCCATTTTTCCTGAGGGATTCACATCCCGAGGCTGATACAGAGCCTGGGCCTGACTGAATTTAGACCATGGCCAGGGTCTGCACCCCTGCTAGCTGGCCTCTGTCTGGACCAGTGTGGGGGGACCACAAAAACAATAAATAGATCTGTCCTATAAAATATGTTAATCACAGCTGATGGGCTCTTGTGGTTCCTGTTTTCAATGTTATTTGAAACCAGTCTTTTAAAGAACTTTAGCCAATCATTTTGCTAAAAGAAGGAACTGGAGAAGGCTGGTGGGAGAGCGGTTGTTCACCTTTTCAGCTCAGCTTTCACTGAGAGGACGAGCCTGGTAGCAGCACCTGTCACTCCCTCTGCACCTGATGCCTCGGGGTAGGCAGAGGAGACCAAGTCACTGCTGCTTCCCTTGAGGAAGAAGAGAACTGAGGGCAGGGTCCAGGATGGGACGCAGAGAGAGCAGGGTGCTGCAGAAGCTGAAGGTGGAGGGGTTAGACATCGAGGTGCTGTTTTGAGAGGCATCCTAATGGACAGACATAGTTTCATCACCCTGAACTTGGCAGCTGGGGAGGTGACCTCTCCAGCCCAGTGAACAAGCTCTGCAGAGAGGTAGGGAAGACGGTGCAGCGTCAGAGCAGAGCAGGAACCTGCCCAGGCTGCCGGGCCAAGGCAGGGGCCAGCTGCAGTGCTGAGAGCAGGACCAAGGAGAGGGACAGGGACCTAGCTGGGCTTTAGGAGAGCTGTTCTGGCCATGGTTTGTTTATTCCTTCCACAAATGTGTCTCCGTACGCTTTGTGCCTTGGGAAAGTAAATAAGATTAAAAATCTTTCCTGACCCTCGAGCAGAGAAATTGTGGATTTTTTTGTTTTTAAATTAAAATGGACCCAAATGATGTCTGTCCTCAAAGCTGGCACCATAGGGCAAGACCGCATGCGTTTTGTGGTGGTCACTTTTGCTTTTGCAGTCCTGGGGACTGAACCCAGGCAGACGCTCTTCACCGAGGTGCAACCCAGCCCCACTTCTTGGTTTCTCATGTTAATAACCTCCCTGTGGTAAAATGTCATCGTGGGATTTTCCTCATAGTGTATTTCCACGAAGCTGTTTACTGCATGTCAGAGTTTGTGTGCTCTGTGAGGAAGGCAATGGCTGTTCCTAAAATACTTTCTGTGGAGCAAAGTAGTAAAATTATTGAATATTCTTTTTTTCCTCTTAGAATACAAAAAGGCTCGCCAAGAGATAAAAAAGAAGTCCTCAGATACACTGAAACTGCAGAAGAAAGCAAAAAAAGGTAACTCAGAAAATTGTGTCATTGATGTTGTCATTTTGAGAAAACATGAACACGCGCTGGATCCGTCTCCAAAGCAGGTGTTCTGTTTATAGACTTAATGTCTGATGGCCCTGGAGAACCCATAGAGGCAAGTAGGACCTATCCGAGTTAAAGCTCTCTAAGTGCAGACTGCGAATGAGTTGGAAGCCCCTGCCAAGCCGGACTTGCCTTGTTCCTTCCCCTACGTTTGTCTTCAAAATCTGATGGTTTCCATGCCTACTGTGCTTTGTAATGAAAGCTACAAATTTCTTGGAAGCCTTGGGAGAATGCAAAGAAAAGCTTTATGCAAATGTTCTATAGTAATTATTACAGAAATTATGTCATTTTCTCCTCCATCTTTCACAGCCTATAATCTCTGAAACCCTCTATTAAGTCTTGGGAGAGTGTTGGGGATGGCTGCAGCAGGGGCCAGAGTCACTGCTGCTTGGGGGATTTTCCTGGGTGTTCATGAGGGAGGAGCTTGGTTATTCACCAGTAAGGGGAACTAGGTGGTGCAGGGTCCCCGCCCTCTGCTTCCCTGTTTAACCAATGGAGGGTCACATCCATGACCTTTGCTCCCCAGAGCAGAAAAATCGAGCTAAATCCACTTTGCAAGCATTCGTGTTAGAAAGGCCTAGAATGTAGGAACTTTCTCAGGAGGTGGAGAAGGGGATATTCCTTCCAGACTGTTCTTGGTACCAAGAATCTGCTGCATCCTGACTGATAAAATGGTATTCTTCCTTCACGCTGCTCTGTGAGTGGTAGATAGTATTAATTTGCGATACCAGCCTTTATAGGTAGCGATTTCCCAAACCCAATTTTCTCTTTCCTAAACCACCAGGTCTCATTTGGATTTAAAAGAAAATGCATTTGGGGATACTGAACGGTGGATGGTGTTGGGTTGGGGGAGGTGATGTCTAGACGAAGGATATAAGCTTTGACATTAAGAGAAAAAAGTCCCTTCCCTCTCTCAATTCTTACAAAAGCCATAAGCCTGTTTCAGAATTAAATCGGATGGATTTTCACCCACAGTCAGATTTCCAGGCCCCTTCAGATCCAGCGGTTTCTTTGGGATGTTTTTTCTGGTTTGGAGTGTCTCCGATTTACATTCCATCTAATGAGGGCCCCTGGGATCGAGTGTTGGACAAGTAATAGGGTTTGTGGCCAGTAACACCTTAGTGAGTCTAAAGGTGAATGTTGGTAAACAAAACTGCCACCAAATCTCATCAGCTCTGAGTCCCTGTGCAGAGCGGGCTGGTTCATCTCGTTGACATCTTGGCACTTTAGAGATAGGAGGGATTAATGGGCTCAGATAGAAGGGCCAGGAGAGGTGCGTAGGCTTAGAAAGGTCTTGGCGTTTGGTGAAAAGGATGAGGTAAGAAAGAGAGGCTGTTTTCCCTTAGCTTCCCGGAGTTCTCTTTTCAGAGGCCTTAAGTTCTGGCTGCAGAAATAATCCTTTTATCTAAGTTCTGCATGAAAGCAAAAGGGTCCTTGCCTGCCACTCAGAGTTACTGGCATTGTCCAATTAGCAGAATGTGGACCTCTGGGTGAAGCCTGATAGGTTGCTCACAGTGCAACATAAAAGGAAGTTTCTGGCAATTAGACGTGCCTAGCCCTGGCTCAGGCTGCCTGGAGGATAACAAGATGCCCATTGGAGCCAGATGGGATGCTGGACTGTGCATAACATGAAATGTGTCTGGCTCTGGGACTTGGGAATAATTGGCCTTGAGTTGAGAGGTTTCCTGGGGGCACTTGGGCCTGAGACTGAAGGAATGCAGCCTGTGATCAGGGGCTTCTGGAGCTACTGTCTTTTCGGCCATCTCAGGTACCACATCTTGCAGATAGTGGATTCCTGTCTACAAAATCAGTCATATCTGTAGCTTTCAAGGTTCTGGATGATATTCTGGTTACTTCAAGGGACAATCAGAAGATGATCTTTTATTTATTTATTTTTAATTTAAAATTTTATTTTGAAACAGAGTCTTGCTCTGTGTTGTTGCCCAGGTTGGTCTTGAACTTAGCGATTCTTCTGTCTCAGCCTCCCAAGTAGCTGGGATTACAGGCCCAGATCCTATTTCTTTTCTTTATAAATGTATTTTTTCCTAAAATATGTAAGTACATTTTGGGGACAGGTGCTCATCTTTGCATATATCTGGAAGTGAACGTAGCCTTCCAGAATGTACGGGAGGTATTGTTCTGACCACACTCTTGTGGAGTGTTCTCCTAGCAGGCATGAGACCCATGATTGAAATGATTCACCACAACTTAAAGGACCAGAAGAAATCTGAAGGCTTTTGATTATTTGGGGTTGGTTAGCTGAAGTTTTCCTTTGTGCTAGAAAACCTCTTGAGTTATTTGGTTCATTTCCGTCAAGGGCCAGTTTCCTGCAATCTTTTTTTTTTTGTTCTGGATATTGAACCCAGGTCTGCTTTACCACTGAGCCACATCCCCAGCCCTTTTTATTTTTTTATTTTGAGACAGGGTCTCACTAAGTGGCTTGAGACCTTGCTAAATTGCTGAGGCTGGCGTTGAACTTTAAATCCTCCTGCCTCAGCCTCCTGAGCTGCTGGGATTACAAGCAGCCCTGATTCCTGAACTCTTAGATTATAAAATGTTAGCATGTTAGGATGGAATGAAGACTTTGGATACATTTTTTGTTTGTTTGTTTGTTTGTCCTAACAGAACTGAATCTGACTTATAGCCAAATAATCATTTTCTTTTTAATATATTTTCAGGAGTCTATAAAGCAGGGATTTTGTTTTGTTTTGATTTTTTTAAAAAAATATTTACTTTTTAGGTGTCAATGGACCTTTATTTTTATTTATTGATAGGCGGTGCTGAGAATTGAACCCAGTGTCTCACACGTGCTAGGCAAGTGCTCTACCACTGAGCCAGAACCCCAGCCCGTTGTTTAGATTTTTTACTATTACCTTTTTCAAAAACTATGATCTTTGATCTAGAAATTCTTCTGACTCTCCTTTGGAAAATTTCTCATGCCTTTGTGCACATCAGCCTGGTTTCAGCACCACCCTTGACTCTAGTAAACACATCATACAGGATGAGACTTTTACTCTTCTTACTCTACAAAAATCACCTTTTATCACATTCTTTGACTCCTTTTGTTAACTGTAGAGGGTGGTAGTTTGTAATACAAAGGCATTTAAATATTTTCATTAAAAAAACCTTTTAAGTGGTTTGTCTTTCATTAGGTTTATTCTGAAATCATTTTATTTATTTTTTTGGTACTGGGGGTTGAACTCAGGGGCTCTCAACCACTGAACCACATCTCCAGCCTTATTTTTGTATTTTATTTGGAGACAGGATCTCACTGAGTTGCTTAGCACCTCCCCATTGCTGAGGCTGGCTTTGAACTCTATCCTCCTGCCTCTGGGATTATAGGTGTGGGTCACCACTTGGCCCCAAATCACTTGAAAGTGACTTGAGGCATGCTCCAACTGCAGTGATGTGCCTGATTTTCTTGAAGGCCAGCCTGTGTGACCTCTAATAGTGGTATACATGGGTAGGAGTTGGGACTGGATAGGGACAGTGGCATGCCACCTCCGCAGATTCTGCTGTGGTGCACAGACAGGGTTGGGGGCACAGGGCAGAGCCAGCCTTGTCAACAGGTAAGGGGACAAAGCAACAGGAAGTTGCAGAAACAGTGTGGAGCTGCCCAGTCAGCCCTAGGCCCTGAGTGGTGCCACTCCATCCCTCTTATATCAGCTCATTGCCTTTGGGGTCCTGGAGTAAGAGACGATCAGAACTGGGAGGTACTTGAAGTTGCTTACCTACTTTTGCCACCTCCATTTATGAAGTCAGTAGCCTTATTTCTCATTTAACTCAGTCCCAAATTATTAATTTAAATTTAGGATTGGGCTGGGGATGTAGCTCAGTGGTAGAGCACTGGCCTAGCATCCACAGGCCCTGGTTTGATCCCCAGCAACAACAGCAAACAACAACAAAAGTGAAATTAATTACAGTCAATCCTTCTGTCTTGATTGATAAACACTGAAAGTCTATCTATCTGGGACTTTCTTTGAGAGGGAGAACTGGAATGAATATATGTTAACTTTAAATAGCTGAATCTATCATTTTCCACCAGAGCCTGCAAAGCCAATGCTGTAATGTAATAAGTAGACTCCGAGTTCCACACCCGCATAGTATGTGCCATTATATTGTATCCCATTAAGTTCTAAGTTTTCAATTCTGCAAATATTTCAATGAAATTGACACAGGTGCATTAAAGTAGGCTGAAAATCATAATCTAGAGCTTATATATATTATTATACTAATATCATGATATTATACTAATAATGTAATATATTTATATTCTTTTTAATACTGTATTTAAGTTTTTATAGGTATTCTAGTTCTGGGACAGTGGGACACAGTAGATTAAAGTTTTAGTTTTTTAAAATTTTTATCCCATTTTAAACTTTATTTCTTGGTAGTCCCTAGATATTTTTTGAAGTTATGATAAATTACACTTGAAAGGTTTTCTTGCTAAGACTTCTGAATTAGCCTCTTCTGGGTATATATTCTTCATTTCTCTTTACAAAATTCTTAGTCCCAGTGGTGACAGTTACCGACTGGGAAGACTGGCGTTCAGGTGAGAAGGGAAGGGAGCTGACCAGGCAGGAAAGGGGAAGTAGGATGTGCCCCTCTGGGTGGGTGAGGTTTGACCACACGACATGAAGCGGGGCGGCCTACACGTGAGCAGAAGGTAAGACAGCTGCTGTCCGAATACCAGTTTGACTGTATTGTTTTCCTTTTTGTGTCAATTGTGTATCCTGCCCTTTCTCACCGTGCGCCCCCTGCCAGTGGACGCTCTGGGTAAGTCTCCATCCTCAATCTCTGGTGGCTGGTCACGGCGTGTTCCTTGCTGTGGGCTTTCCGTGGTTGATCAGACCTATGCTAGTTGCCTCAATTTTCCTGCCAGCTCAGAACAATCACTTGTGCCTCCTTAATTTCCCATAACTTGAAGAAAATTGTGTATGCGTGTGTCTTAATCATTTTCTTTCTTGGATGTTTGGCCATTAAAGGTGTTAGGCTGTTGCATCTGCATAGTTCAGTAATAGACTCATGGAAAAAAGAAATACCGAGTGATTTACACCCTCCCTCCCACAGGACACCAGTGTAATTATACATGCATACGTGTCTGCACTTGGCTGTTTATGTATGTATGTATGTATGTATGTGGCCCACAAACAAAATATGAAGAGCTACACCAAATAACTCCTCAAAATTATTACTGAATCACATTTGATTAGATGAAGCTTCAAGATACCTGTCTTTGTCCATAGCATTCTTTTGAAAATCAAGAATTCATTTTAAAAAACCAGAAGTATTTCTTATTTCAGCAGAGTTTGTGAAAAGTTTCAGAGGTATCAGATCTTCAAATTCAATACTGACAATGATTCTCTTGACTGAATGTGACCCTCACTCCGTGGGTGATCATGCTACTGAAACGCAAGCTGCTTTGGAGCCTCGATGCTGTCCCTGTCTCAGGAAGGTCTGTCTGTGAGGTGTCCGTGTGGCTGTCTTGCCTAAGCGTGCCCAGCTATTTCCCCAGCATTTTACTGGCAGCTCCTAAGAGGTGTTTGAATTGGACTGTGTCGTCCACGGTGAACCCAATCCACACAGTCTCCTTTGACAGCGGAGTCAGGATGTCCCACTGTCCGAGGAGACGCAGTTTTGCCTCTGTGTCCCTTTGTGATGTTGGGCTAGTCGTCCCCCAACTTCAAAAAGGACGGTACCTTTCAGTTCTCAATATTGTGATTATGAAGCTACTTGAATGGTTATAGTAAACCTCTGGAAGGAAGGTAAGACAAGCCACGTTTTTGCTTATTGCTATAAAATTCATATAGCATCAAATTTATAATTTAACCATTTTAAATTATGTGTTTCAGTGGCCTTTAAATATTCACAGTGTTGTGCAAACATCAACATTACCTAATTTCCCTAGAAGGACACCCCACGCCTGTTCAGCAGTGACACCTCATGCCTGTTCAGCAGTAGCCCCTGTCACCCAGCTCCCCACCCCTCAGAACCACTCACCCACTTTCTTCTGTCCCTGGATTCACCTCTTCTGGACATTTCATATACATGGAATCATACAATATGGGGCCTTTTGTTTTTTGTTTTTGTATCAGGGATTAAACCCAGGGGTGCTTAACCACTGAGCTACACCCACAGCCCTTTTTATTTTTTATTTTGAGACAGAGTTTCACTAAGTTGCTGAGGGCTTCACTAAGTTGCTGAGGCTGGTCTGGAACTTGTAGTCCTCCTGCCTCAGCCTCCTGAGTTGCTGGGATTACAGGCGTGTGCCACCAGGCCCTGCGCAATGTGGGGACTTTTGAGGACAGTCTCTTGACTCTTTAAGTTTTATGAGACGTTTTACTGAGAGCCTGGCATGAGTCAGTTCAGGGGGTAAACAACGTTTTTGTTTGAAAGGATAAAAGATAGGTTTGGAATGAATGAAGAAACCACACAGCCACCTGGCTTTTCAACTTCTAAAGATTCTGCTCATTTTAGTCACAGACATTTCTGCAGCCCCATTAGTCCCCTCTCTTGCTGGGGCAGGTTCAGAGGGCAGAGCCACAGTGCTGGGTATGTCAGCAGTGGTGATTGGGAATGAAAAACCAAGAATAGGGCTGGGCTGTGGCTCAGGGGCAGAGCACTTGCCTAGCAGGTGTGAGGCATGGGGTTCGATCCTAAGCACCACATTAAAAAAAAAAAAAATATATATATATATATATATATATATTTATAAAAAAAATAACCTAAGGTAGTTGAATAGTCCAAAGATGTTGTAAGTTTTTAAAAACAAATTTTAAATCAGTTTTGAGCCTGGAAATCTAGATTTAACAAGTTTCATCATAGTTGAAATGTTCTTGGGCCAGGGGCTGGAGCTCCTTGGTAGAGCACTTGGCCCGTGTGTATCAGGTCCCAGGTTCTGTTCACAGCTCCACCAAAACCAAACAAACGAAAAATTGAAAACAGCAAAAAAAAATTAATTTTGATCAATATATGTAGATAGATAGATACTTGGAACTCTCCTTTGAGCTAATTAGAACTATTTACCTCAAACTCCAGAAGTCCGGGTCCCTGCATAAGCAGGAGCAGGGACCTCTGCAATGGAAGGAATTTGCAACTCCTTCCTCTGCCTGGGAGAGAGATTCCCTGGAGGAACTTGATCTTCCTCAAACCAGTTCTTTACTCTGGTGCTCACATCCTGTGACAGATACCAGCAAAAGGTGTGGGTGGGCAGAGAGGAGGGGCCTGGTGGGCTTGGAGGTGGCATCGTGGCCCTGGGGAGGATGACAAGGGTTCAGTTGGAGGAGAACCAGGAGAGGTGCTCAGGCAGAGGGATAGGATGACCCTGGATGTGGCCATGTGATCAGGAGCCCCAGAAACAGTGGGAGGGTAGACCTGGTGCAGGGGGTGCTGGGAGAGGCAGTGTGCGACACCCAGGGACAGCCTCAAGCCAGGGTGGACTGCAAGCGGAGAACTCTGTGACCTCAGGCTGCGAGTGCAGCCTCAGCCCCAGGATGGTGCTATCCCTGGACCTCGTTTCCGATCAGATGCCAGACTAGTCTGCATTTCTCCTCTTGGCATCCATCTTTCCTGGAAATCCCCAGCACTGTGGAACCTTCTACGGTGGCAGTGGTTTATGTCCCCAGCCCCACCCAGCCTGTGTGTGTATCCATGTGAGCATTTCTCCTGTGACTGCCAAGCCAGTGACACCACCCTGAGTGGCCCTGAAACCTGCAGCCAGTGGTCAGTCACCCTGCCTCAGTGGTGAAAACTGAATGTGCCCAAGGCCCCCCAGCCACCCCTCCTGGTTCTTGCAGACGAATGCTGCAAGGATTCCTCTCCTGCAGGAGGAGCCAGTGGAGAGAGCCAGGGAGCAGCTGGGGGATGTTTCCTCTTGGTCCTTGGAGGAGGCCACACCCAGTGCTGGAAGCAGAGGGGGGTTCAGGAGGAAAGCCAGGTTCTCCCTACCTGAGTGGAAGCTGGGGTGGTAGGATTTCCCCCTTTCAGACCTGCTGTGACAGTTGGGAAGCTGTCCCTGACCACAGCAGGTCAGTCGAGGCTTTGAATTCAACCCTGCAAGCGCCTGCTCAGGACCCTCACATTTCATACGGGAGCTCCTGGCCCTCAGGCCTGTGTTCAGCAGCCTGTCTCGCGGTGGGGCTTCCGGGTAAAACCCGCCAGGCAGCTGAGGGCTCCACCTTTGCACAGCTGGTCTCTGGTGGAGCCTCATGCTGGTAAGGATGGCCACCAGTGCCTTGCTGGTGATTTGCTGTTGACTCTGGGCTCAAAATGTTCCCATGCACAATGAGTGTTTGGAGTTTCTCACCCCACCCTGGTGTCCCTGTGGCCACATTCAGAGGCCAGGGGGAGAGGTGTCTGCAGGGTGGGGTCTCAATGGGAGTCCAATTCTTTTATCAGCTTAATTTTACTCATATGCAAAATAACAGTTAAAAGAACAAGTTGCTTGAAATGCTGATTCCTTACACATGTGGTTTGTCTGTCCTTGGGGACACTGAACAGACATGAGGAGCATAACTAGATGACATGGAGGGAGGGGCTGGCTGCTGCCTCCCGTCAGGTGCAACCATCAGCCTTTCTCCCGGGGCTAATGGAGTCCCACCGGGCGCCATTCTTCACTTCATGAACGTTCTTCTTGACTACTGCAGTGGGTCTCACAGCAAGGAAGCCTTCACTCATCCCCAAAACACGGAGGAGGAGCCTGCTCTGTGTTGGATCTGCCAGCTGCTCCAGAGGCCCAAGATGGCAAAGGCATTTATGTCTAATGTCACTCCTAATGACACTCCTGTCATTCAGGAAGCTGGGGGTGGGGTGGGCGTGGGCGGAACTGGAGCAAAGACCAAATCTATGTTTTTGAATTAGCCAGCAGCATTCTCACATCCTACAGAGGAGGCAACATCAGGGGTCCCATTCATTGGGAAGAAAGTGCCATAGGTGAACACAGAGACAGGGACCAGGTTCTGGGAGGAGCTAGCCTAGGCAGGCTCTTGAAAGTTGAATTGGGAGGAGGAAGGGGTGGGTGGAGGAAGAAGGGCGATCCTGCACCCTAGGAGGAGGGAGTGAGTGTGAGGCACAAAAACCCAGGTAGCAGGAAGCTGGAGATGTCTGATGTTGCTGCTTCCATTCGTTTCCTCAGGTGCAAGATGCTGGGGTGCGGGATGGATTATGGGCAGCCACACCCTCCTGGCCTCCCAGACCAGGGTGGAGTGGTGTGGAGAGGGTGATGCCTTTCCTCCCATCACGAGGGTCACAGCAATACCCCTCAAAAATATACCAAGTTTATTTAACCATGGTATCAGGTGACACAGGAAACTTCAGAGGAAGACCCAAAGACACTGCTGTGTGCTTAGCTTTGGTGAAGTAGGGGTGGCCTGCTGTAGCCCTGTGGTTGGACAGAGGGTCTGCACTAGTGGTCATAGACTGAGGGGGACACCCAGCAAGACACCTGATCATATTCTTCTTAGTCTCTCTACGACATTCCTTCTGTCACCAGAGGGGGTCCCAGGAAGTCCTGGAGAGGGACTTCTCAACTCAGGGTTCAACAGTGGGGTTCTTGATCAATGTTATGGAAAAGAATTTCAAAACCTGTCGGAGAGGAACAAGCTGAGATCTGATCAGGAAAGCAAAGAATACATACGTGGGTGGGCGGGGGGAACATGGGCAGTCGCAAAGATTGGGATGCACTTTTGGGGTCTTTTAAAGGAAGCTCTGTGAGGAGTGGGCTTGGGAAGAAATATGGGGATGCCATCAATCTGGTAATCACAAGATGGGTTAAGGTT